AATCCAACAAGACCTTTTGTGCCACCTAGGCCTACAACTAGGTTGAGTGCTGCAAAGAATGTGGTAGGCCCAGTAACAAGGAGGTCTACTCCAACAAAGAGGATCACCCCAAAGAAGAAGCTATAAGTTGTGGAACATGTGAATTTAGTTACCTAGAACAAGTTTATGTATTTTACTGCTGTCATTTTAGAACAAGTTTATGTATTTTACTACTGATGTTGTCATGACCAAGTTTATGTGTTCTACAGTTGTTGTACTCTACTGCTGTCATGAACAAGTTTATAATTTGGAACATGTTGTACTCTACTGCTGTCATGAACAAGTTTATAATTTGGAACATGTTGTACTCTACTGCCGTCATGAACAAGTTTATAATTTGAACATGTTGTACTCTACTGCTGTCATGAACAAGTTCTACAGTTGTTGTATTTTACTGCTGTCATGAACATGTTGTTTTTGGAACAAGTATATTTTGTGGAAAGTATTACAGGTTTATGTATGCTGCTGTTGTTTATAGGTATTATGTAATGAACCTAAAAGCAGAACCAACTTATATGTATCCTGCTGTTATATACCAAATATGCTGCTATATACCAAATAGGTTGTTATATACCAAATAGGTATTATGAAATGAACCTAAAAGCAGAACCAACTTATGTATGCTGTTGTTGTTGTTTATAGGTATTATGAAATATAATCCAAACTGTTATATGTATGCTGTTGTTATATGCTGTTATATACCAAACTGTTATATATCAAATATAATCCAAACTGTTATATACCAAACATTAAAAACTATTATATACCAAACTGTTATATACCAAATATAATCCAAACTGTTATATAGCAAACATAAAAAACTGTTATATATCAAACTGTTATATACCAAATATACTCCAAATATATCATTGACCGACCAAAACTGTTATATACCAAACATAAAAAACACTTTGACATGATATAATCCAAAACTGTTATATTCATGTAGATTATGCTTTGACAGACCAAATTAAAACACTTTAACATCCAACTATTACATTCATGTTGAAGTGATACAAACTATTACATGTTGAACTGCAAAAACTGAAATTAATTAAACTGATACAATCCATATATTAAAAACCAACTATTACATTCATGTTTAAGTGATACAAACTTTAACATAACATAATACTTCCAAACAAACCGTAATAACCTAACTACCCCTAACAACTAATACAATGATAATCATCACAAACATCAAATTCAAAATCTTTTTCCACTTCATGATATTCTTCATTTCAATTTCAAGTTTCATCAGATTTTTTCCTAATTCTTCATTCTTCATTGTCGCTTTTTCAATGTCCTTTTTTGCTTCAGCAAGTCCCTTAGTTACCACACACAACCTATGCATCCAAAATTTCTCCTTCTCATCACCCATCTCCTCATAAAACCAATCAAAGAAGCCACAACCAGATTGCATACCTCCCTGTAAGTTTCATTGTTTAGAGGATGATGGATAATGAATTTAAAATTAAACAAAAGTATAACTTATAATTTAGACAGAAACAGAAACATAACTTAATCAAAAACAGAACTTCAACAGAGAACAAAACCAGCTTGCGTACCTTATAATTTGGACAACCCCAAAAAAGTTTTCCCATATTCTTAACATTAGTTGCCCTTTGAAGAACAATCATGTCTCCATAATGGCACATGGACTTCCATCGTGACCGACTACTAACATTCGAATCCCGACTTTTCGTTTTTGAAATGGAAGAGGAACATCCGAATTTCATGCTTGCCAAATAAAAAAAACCCTAGATTAACGTTTACAGATTTGAGATTTGGATTGGGATTTGGGATTTAGAATTATTTTAGGGATTTCAACGGAAGGTGGAGGGAGAAGGAAGCCATGTCATCTGCCATATATACAAAACTAACGGACGTTTGGGGGCAACTGACGGTGAGGACCAAAATGACACCATTTTAAAAGTTAAAGGACCAAGTTGCCACTTTTTAAAGATAAGGGACCAACATGGACCCCGAGCTAAAGTTAAGGGACCAAAAATGTTATTTTGCCATAATTCTAATTAAAAGAAAATAATTCCAAAGAAAATAAAAATCTATATTCTAATAAAAACAATTATAGTCCTATTTCTAAAAAAAACAAATATCTAACCATTAAAATTCTAAATAAATCCATTTAATAATCTATTTAAAAAAACATTTTCTAACCGACTAAATTCTAGAAACTATTTAAAAATCCTAATAAAATCAATTTAAAAACTATACTCTAATATTAATTCTAAAACTAATAAAATTCTAACAAATAAAATCTATATTATAAAATTCTAAGCAATTAAAAAGACTATTTCTATCCATTTTTAAAAAACAATATTAAAATTCTATTTAAACTATTTAAGTTCTATTTTCTATTCTAATTTAAGCTAATTAATTAATTAATATTAAAATTATATTATATTAACATACCATAAAAAAATGAAAAAATGAAACTAAAATAATGATAAATATATACAAAAATAAATGTCACGTGGCATGCTCTTACTGGGCTAAAAAGTGAAAATGTTTATTTTTGCTAAAAAAACGCTACATTGTACAAGCGAGGTAAATAAAAAAAATCGGGCGAATGAAAATTTTAAAAAAGGTAGGAGAAATTTGGGGTATGACACTTTGTCACACAAGGCCTGACTAAGTATACAGTGTGAGCATGGTAAGTAGATTCATGCAGAAGCCAAAGGTACCACACCTAGCAGCGGCGGAGAGGATGCTGAGGTATTTGAAAGAGACTCTCGACTATGGCATTTTATTTCCTGCAGCTGATGAAGGAAAACAATGCAAGTTAGTGGGATACACCGACTCTAGTTGGTGTAGTGATGCTGAGGATAAAAAATCCACAGTTGGCTATGTGTTTATGTTTGGTGGTGCAACCGTTGTTGGGAGTTCGAGAAAGAAGTCAGTAGTGGCATTGTCATCATGCGAAGTAGAATATATAGTTGTTTCTCTTTGTGCATGTCAAGCAACCTGGATGGTGAACCTGGTCGAAGAGATCACAGCGAAGAGTCAGGAACAATTACCATGAAGATTGACAGCATGTCAGCTATCAACTTGGTGAAGAATCCAATAGCACACAGTCGAATCAAACACATCGAAATGAAGTTCCATTATCTTTGAGAGCGAGTAGCAGAAGGGAAGATAAATTTGGAACACTGTAGAACTGATAATCAGATTGCAGACATCACGACGAAGGGAGTACCAGTCGAAGTGTTTAAGAAGCTAAGGTCTATGATGAATGTATATAGTTTAGACACAATGAATTAGGTGGTGTGTTAAATATTTAATTCATTGTTTTATAAAGATTATATTTGATTTAAAAAGATCAGATTTGATTTAGAAAGATTAGATTAAATATTTTTGGGTTTTTATAGTTTGGGCTTTAGCTTGGAGTGCAAGCTAACCTAAATCTATAAATAGGGAGAAATCCTTATTTTGTAAACATCTCATCTCATATCATCTCATCATATTTTGTAATTCACAGTTTGCAGTTGCAAGTGAAACAACAGAATTTTCACAGTTTGTGGGTAGAGAGTTCTCTGCAGAAAGTTGTTCTTTTTCTTCTTCTCCAATGTTTACTTTCTTTCTTTCTAAATTTTTCTTTCATTGTCATTACGTGGGTTGGAACAATCTTGTGATCAAGATTGATTGAGTGAAATTCTCTATAATCGTGGTTAGATGTCCAACAGCAGAACCATTTTGCTCATCGTAACGGGCAAGTCCATCCACTATCCGGGGAGTGCGGAAAGGTTGACCCAAGACGATGAGCATGAGCTGCTCGTCCCTACTTTCACGTAGAAATCCTGACAGTCATCCGTGGTGGGGTTGAAACTCAACCTATAACGGATACCATTGGCCAAGCGCTTGGGGCTCACTATAAAAACCCTCCTCTGTAGGAAGATCATGTATTCTATTCCTTAAGCCTTTCTTACTTACCTCTTCACCCGAACTGCCTTAAGTATCAGAGTGTCTGCAAGTACATTCCCCCTTAGTTGATCGTTCAAGACTGCGGACGTGTTGTTCACCGCTTATTTATATATATATATATATATATATATATATATATATATATATATATATATATATATATATATATATATATATATATATATATATATATATATATATATATATATATATATATATATATATATATAACTCTTAGTATACTTCTTATTATATTGTTATATATACATTGATCTAATTTTTTTTTTCTTTATCTCTCTATCACACAACCAATATTTCACATGTATCTCATTATATTTCTTTCTCTTTCAAACGGTTGGATCTATAGATATCTACTAAACATTTTTCAATGGTATATTTAAATCATATAATATACATGATTACCCACTTTTAATACATCATATTGACTTTCTTTTACGGCTGTTTTATGATTTTTTTTAATAAGTACAATTTATTATTAATAGAATACTATTCTAATTTATTTTCATTTCTCATTCACAATTTTAATTATTAATTATCTTCCATCTAAAACGCAACAACTCTCGAAAAAAATTAGAGAAAGTTAGAAATAACAAGAAAATTAATGTTTGAGGATTATAAAAGAACAAGAAAAGTTACCTCTTTAACTAAAACTTTAACATATTAGGTATTTGAGTTATTTTCTTCATAGACATAAATCACACTTGAACTCAATATTTTCTTCCACAAATGTAAATTTTCACATTCTAGTTTTGATAACAGAATGTACCAAAATCCAACTCTAACTCCTCCACCAAACTTAACCGAGACTTTAGATAGCCATGAAAAAAAACTACATTAACGTCATCACCATAACAAAAAAACAAAAGCCAAGAAAATGAATTATCAATTACACCATTGTGTCTATTAGTCACGTGCTTACACTATTTAAACCCATGAGCTAGTTTACAACTAGAAAACATATCTTGTCACTTCATCCCAATTACAATCTCCACACAACAATGTCCACCACCGCCACATGTCTCCTCTTCTTCCTTCTTCCACTTCTCATAACCACCATCATATCTCCGGTTGCCTCCGCCGGAAAAGGACAATGGCAGCTACTACAAAAAAACATTGGCATTGTAGCCATGCACATGCAACTCCTTCACAACGACCGGCTTATCATATTTGACCGGACCGACTTCGGTCTCTCCAACATATCACTACCTGATGGGAAATGCCGTAACGACCCGACAGAAATCACTGTTAAAATCGATTGCACGGCGCATTCCGTTGAATACAACGTAGTATCCAACACTTTCCGTCCCTTGTTTGTTCAAACCGATGTTTGGTGTTCTTCCGGCGGGATAAACCCCGCCGGAACACTTGTCCAAACGGGTGGTTTCAATGATGGAGACCGCGCCGTTCGAATGTTTGAACCTTGTAACAATTGTGATTGGAAAGAATTCGCCGGCGGACTTAATGCTCGGCGATGGTATGCTACTAATCAAATTCTGCCGGACGGCCGTCAGATTATCATCGGCGGTAGAAAACAATTTAACTATGAATTTTACCCCAAAAATGACATTGGTGCAGTAAATTTATATAGTTTATCATTTTTGGTTCAAACTAATGACCCTGGTGCAGAGAATAATTTGTACCCTTTTGTTTTTCTCAATGTTGATGGCCACCTCTTCATCTTTGCTAACAACAGAGCCATCCTCTTCGATTATAATAAGGTAGTTTTACTCTTTTATTCATCTTATGTCTTTATAATCTACCATTAACTTAGTAATTTTATTAATTAGTCTATATAATAGTAAATTGATATATCAGTTAAAATTTTATCTTTTTATATATTGAACTAAAATTGTATTAGTTATCTGCATCACTTAAATTGATAGTTGTGCTGGGAAATTAGACGATACAAACTGATTCATAATTGAATCCATGATATAGTAGAAAGTCTAACTCATCATAAAAAAAACTAATATTATTAAGTTCAAAAGTTATTCTAGGATTTCAATCATGTCTATCAAAATTGTGAAATTATATATCTTATGAATTGTTTATTTGTTTTTATTTGAATTGTGAAATTATATATCTTGTGAATTGTTTATTTGTTTTTATTTGTAACGTTCAAATTCAATGCATTTCTTGAAATGTCAAAGCCATGTGCGAAGATATTTTTAGTTTTGTTTCTAGTTTTAAATTTTTGCTACATTGGACTGATGATGTTTTTAATTTGTGTTCTAAAAATAACTAGAATCTAGTGGTGAAAACATTTCCACAAATCCCAGGTGGAGAACCTAGGAGTTATCCAAGCACAGGTTCTAGTGTTTTGTTACCATTAAAAAATCTTCAATCAAGAACAATAGAAGCTGAGGTTTTGGTTTGTGGTGGAGCACCAAGAGGATCATATCAAAAAGCAGAAGCAAAAGAATTTATCGGAACTTTGAATACTTGTGCCCGAATCAAAATAACCGACCCGGATCCGAAATGGGTAGTCGAAACCATGCCAGGCGGTAGAGTCATGGGCGATATGGTAATGCTTCCAAACGGCGACGTTTTGATAATTAACGGAGCGGGTTCAGGGACAGCCGGTTGGGAACTTGGACGAGATCCGGTTTTGAGCCCGGTTCTTTATAAAACAAAAAACCCAACCGGTTCACGGTTCGAGTCACAAAACCCGTCTAACATACCACGAATGTATCATTCTACTGCTGTTTTGGTTCGTGATGGAAGGGTTATTATTGGTGGTAGTAACCCTCACATTGGTTATAGTTTTGCTAATGTTTTGTTTCCAACTGAACTTAGTCTTGAAGCTTTTTCACCTCCTTATCTTGAACCGGGATTCGCGAATGTTCGTCCGAGGATTGTGTCTCCTATTATAGGGTCACAAAAGTATGGTCAAAAGTTGAAGTTGAGGTTTCAGGTGAAAGCAATGTTGGATCAGAAATTGGTTTATGTTACGATGTTGGCGCCGTCTTTTAACACGCATTCGTTTTCGATGAATCAGAGGTTGTTGGTGTTGGAGTCAAATAAAGTGGTTAAGATGGAAGGAACAACTTTTGAGATTGAGGTTACTGTGCCTGGTTCACCTGTTCTTGCACCTCCTGGTTATTATATGTTATTTGTGGTTCATAAAGAAATTCCTAGTGAAGGTGTTTGGGTACATTTAGTTTGATTTTAAGTGTAATTATATACACCTATATGATATGATGAGTAATAAATTGTATTGTATCTTATAAAAAATATGGTTATTACTAACTCTCTCCAGTTAATGAGAGAATTTTTGGAGATTTATTCAGTCTCATTTACTGATTAAAATTATAATATCAAGGTGTGTAGAGAATTTTTTTTTTTTTTTTTTGTCGTCAGATCTCAAATATTTGGTTTACCCTTATATAAAATGCTTGTATTTTTTATATTAGTTGATTTATTTAATATTTTTGTCATTTAAATTTTCGGTGTGTATGTGTTAAATTAGAAATTTTTGCATGAAAACACACTTAAACTCATATTTTTAAAAATAAGAAAAGAGAAAAATTTTAATTTATTTTTTTAATTTGAATTATGTGATAGTTGTGATATGAAAAATAAAAAATATTTAATTAATAAAAAAATTAATTGACTGTGTGTATAACTAGTTGTTATCTAGTTGTTATGATTCCTTTCATTTAAGAATTTTTTCATAAGTATTTCTAAAAACAATTGTCACATAAGTGAAATTAGGACGTTGATGCTATAGTATAATTGAGTGAACAAATTAAATTATAATAAAATTTATTTGAACTGAATTGAACTGTTACAACTTATTTACAATTGAATTGAAAAAATTATTGAATTAGTATATTTTTTGAAATTTTGAATAATTTTTTGAAGTTAAACTATTTTTTTAAAATTAAAACTTGCATGTATTTTTCATTTTCAGTTTTGATTCAATTAAGTTTTAATTTTGGTTCCAGTTTTGATTCGATTAAGTTTCAATTTTAGTTCGAGTTTCAATTCGATTTATTTTATCACATGATTTGGTTTTAAAATTATTTGTGTAATATGGTTCAGTAATTGATCATAACAAATCAATTATTTTAACTTCAATTCCACGACTTAATTTGAATCACAGTTTAAAATTTATAAAAATTTAGAAAAAAATCACATAATTTAGAAAAAAAAAATCTAACAAAGTAGAAAAAAAAATTATGCAACTAACTTCTAAATAAATAATTTTTAACTAATTTACAGAAACCTTAATTAACACATTTTCATAATTCATGTTTATCAAGTAACCATTTTCAGTGTGCTTCTCAATCTAATAAAGGTCTCAATTTTAAAGGCCTTAATCATGATAAAAGATATATGCATATCAGTCATGCAATGTTCCACCAATTATTTTTGTTTTGTAATGTGATTCATGACTTAGTTTCAATGTGTATGCTTATACGTGAAATGGAATGATTGACTAGATTAATGGTAGAATGTGAGATATTGGATTGAACTCTAATGCTGTTGACGGAGATGTTGTCAGTAGGGATATCTTTCATGTTTCGACTGAAGACAAGCATGAAATCGAAGCTGGTTCACGTGCTGATGTCGAAGTGTTACGTGTTGTAGTCGAAATTAGTTCAAGTATGTAATGTCGAAATGTAATGTTGAATTGAGCCTTGTGTTATGGATCCAATTGTTTAGGTTAGCTTTTTATTTAAGTTAACTTAGTAGGCTATAAATAGGCTAAATCTCTCAGATTGTTGAGAGAGACCAATTGGGTTATTCACTTGTAATCATTTGTACCCTAATTGAGTAAGTGAATATAAAATAGTTTGCCTAATCTCTCTCTCTCTCTCTCTCTCTCTCTCTCTCTCTCTCTCTCTCTCTCTCTCTCTCTCTCTCTCTCTCTCTCTCTCTCTCTCTCTCTCTCACACACACACACACACACACACACACACACACACACACACACACACACACACACACACACACAAACACACACACACAAACACACACACACACACACACACACACACACACACACACACACTATGTGTGTGTATGCTCTAATCGTTTCATTGTTCACCCAAGAAATTCAGTTTCTCAATCAAGAATTTGTTAACTGGTATCTTTTGTTACAACAAACTGGTGTGGTGAACATGGAGAAATATGTCGTCGACAAAGTTTGAAATTGAGAAGTTCACCGGAGTTAATGATTTCGGTTAATGGCGTTTGAAGATGCGAGTCTTTCTTGTACAACAGAGTTTGTTAAAAGTGTTAAAGAGAGAAGAAGCCATGGACGCTGCATTGACGGAGAAGGATAAGACAACGATGATCAAGAAAGCCCATAATGCCATTGTTCTGAGTCTTAGTGATAAGGTTCTCAGGCATGTTTCGAAGGAGACAACACCAACCAGTGTTTGGCTGAAACTCGAAGGATTGTATATGACAAAGTCCTTGGTGAATTCTTTTTACTTGAAGCAGGTTTTGTATTCATTCAAGATATGAAGATAAAGTGTTTACGGAGCAACTGGTACGTTCAACAAGCTGATTCTTGATCTTGAAAATACTGAGGTTATTATCAATGACGAAGATCAAACATTGTTATTGTTGTGTTCTTTACCTAAGGCGCATGCTCACTTCAAAGAAATCATCTTGTATGAAAGAGAGTCTATGACCTTTGAAGAAGTTCGAGCAACCTTGTATTCTAAGGATTTAAACAAAAGAAATGAGCAGATACTATCATCAGTTGGCGAAGGATTGTCCGTTAAAGGAAAAATCTCTAAAAGAGATGGCAGGTTCGAGAAGAAGAAAGGTAAAACTCGGTAGAAGTCTCATGGTGGTGATATTTTTGGTATTAGGTGTTATCATTGTAAGAAGGAGAGTCACACAAGAAAGATATATCTTGAGCGCCTAAATAATCATGGAGGTAGGGACAATGGCATTGCAACTATTGTGCAAGATAATTATGAATCATCTGATGTCTTTATGGTGTCGAGCACCAACTCTTGTAAAAAGTGGATTATGGATTCAGGATTTAATTGGCATATGACTCCAAACAAGAATGTGTTTGAAGAATTATGTGATCAAGATGGTGGATCAATGTTGTTGGACAATAATAAAGCTTGCAAGATTGCAGGTATTGGATCTGTGAGATTTAAGCTCCATGATGAGTCAATAAGGTTATTGACAAGTGTTAGGTATGTACGTGATCTTAAGATGAATTTTAGTTCTATTGGTGAATTTGACAGGAAAGGATATGTTTTCAAAGGAGAGCAAGTTATCCTGAAAGTCATGAAGGGGTCGAAGGAAGTCTTGAGAGGCGTGAAGAAATAAAGCTTGTATACCCTTGAGGTTGAGGTTGTAAATGGTTCAGCAGATTTTGCTTCCACGAAAATGGTGTCGAAGGCATAATTATGGCACACGAGATTGGGCCATGTTAGTGAAAGAGACTTGGTCAAAATGGGGAAATAGAACCTGCTAGGTGGTGACAAATACGAGAAGTTGGAGTTTTGTGAACCTTTTGTTTTTGGAAAATCCTGTATGGTGAAGTTTAACAAAGGTAAACAAAGAACACACAAATCCCTTTATTACATTCATATTGATCTTTAGGGGCCTGCAAGGAATCCTTCACATTCAGGTGCAAGGTACTCTCTATCTAAAGTTAATGACTATTCAAGATAGTTATGGGTATTCATTTAGAAGACTAAGGATGAAACTTTTGAGAATTTCAAAAGTTGGAAGGTTTTGGTTGAAACTCAAACTGGCAGAAAGGTCAAGAGGTTGAGAATCGACAATGGCCTTGAATTTTGCAATGAAGTTGTTGACAACTACTATGTCGAGTATAGGATTGAAAGGCATAAGCTATAGCAGGTACTCCTCAATAACATGGCTTAGTTGAGAGATTCAATTGAACAATCATTGAAAGGGTTAAATTCATGACGGTAATGTTGGATTGAAAAAGGTGTTTTGGAAAGAGGTTGTTTCGACATCATCTTATATGATAAGTAGATGTCCCTCGACTTCCTTGGAAATGAAGACACCTAAAGAAGTTTGGTCGAGTCAACTAGCGGACCTCGACAAACTGAGAGTATTTGGCTGTTTATATTCTATGCTCACATTAGGCAAGACAAGGTCGAACCTAGAGCTCTGAGATGTATGTTCCTTAGATCTCCTTAGGGAGTCAAAGGCTAAAGGATGTGGTGCCTAGAACCAGAGCACAGAAGATGTACCATAAGTCGTGATGTAGTTTTCAATGAAGACGAAATGACACTCAAGAAAACTGGTGATGCTGGTCGAAATGCATAAATATCTGAAGAAGAGCTGGAACTGGTAGAGATTCCTATTGAGTTGGAGTATAGTGATGTTGAAGTGCATAATACAAATGAAGTCGAAGAAGAAGAGCAAGATATTGAAGAGAATGAGGAAACTGTCAATGACTACCTACTGGAAAGAGATCGGTTGAGAATAGTCATCTAGCCACCTCAAAGACTTGGTTATGCAAATCTTATACCTTTTTACTTTAATCTCTGCAAGTGAGGTACTTGAGGAAGAACCTATAAATTACAAAGAAGCTATAATGAGTCGAAGCAAGACTGAATGGCGAAAATCCATGGATGACAGGATGAAATCTCTTTATGAAAATAACACTTGGGAGCTGATTGAGAAACATACATCAGCGAGGATAATCAGTTGCAAGTGGATTTTCAAGGTCAAGGAAAGAATCGAAGGAGTGATGTTGCAGCGCTTTAAGGCAAGGTTAGTTACGAGAGGGTTCAGTCAAAAAATAAGGTGTCGACTTTAATGATGTGTTCTCACCTGTTGTAAAACATAAATCCATTAGAATATTGTTAGCCACAGTGGTGAAGTACGACCTGGAACTTGAACAAATGGATGTGAAGATAACTTTCCTGTATGGTGATCTAGATGAAACGACCCTGATGTGACAACCTGAAGAGCATGCAGAAAAAGGATAAAGAAGACTATGTGTGCAAGCTGAATAGGTCTTTGTATGGCCTGAAACAATCTCCTTGACAGTGGAATAGGAGATTCGACAAGTTTATGGCACACATTGGTTTCACTAGGAGCCAGTTCGATCATTGTGTTTACTTAAGATTTTTACCTGGAAACTCACTTGTTATTTTGTTACTTTATGTGGATGATATCCTCGTAGCTAGTAACAATGTCGAAGATGTAATG